CAAATTGGTGAAGCATTTCAAAATGCCAAAAAAGTCTCTTTGTTATCTACACAATCAAACCTTTAAATGTTCAAAAAGGTAGGACAAATTGGAAAGAAAAACCATAACCGAACAAAAAAACTGTATTGGAAAATAATAAACTTCAGAAAATAAAAAAATAAAAAAAAAATCATAATTATCCTCTAAAATTTAGCAGTATTGCGGTTTAGACAGTAAAACAAAGAAAAAAGTGTGTCCAGTTCCTCATTTTCTTTTAAGACCCTAAAATACAACATTTTAATTAAAAACAAAAATCAACACTTTAATAAAAACAAATCAATTAAAAAATAAAGTGGAGAACACCATTTTAGGAGATAAATATTAAAAAATAAAGTGAAAAAATGGCCACATGGTGAATAACTGCTCTCCATTTTAGGAGAGAGATATTAAACAGAAAAATTAAAATTTGTTATGTTGGAAAAAAAAAACAAAACAAAACAAGAACGGAATAACTTCTCCATTTTAGGAGAAAATATTAATATCTATATTAAAAAAAATCTAATAAATTATACTAATATCTGCATATGGTCTGACTAATTTAGATGGATTAGGATGTTTCAACCAATTTCTATCCATTTTAGGAGGAGATAAAATATCATGATAATTATCCTCTAAAAGATAGCAGTTATGGAGAGGAGGGAGAGATAAATGATAAAGGCAACAAAAACAAATTAAAAAAATAAAGTCGAGAACATCATTTTAGGAGATAAATATTAAAAAATAAAGTTAAAAAAAGGCCACATGGTGAATAACTGCTTTCTATTTTAGGAGAGAGATATTAAACAGAGAAATTCAAATTTGTTATGTTGGGGAAAAAAAACAAATAAAACAACAAGAACGGAATAACTTCTCCTCCATTTTAGGAGAAAATATTAATATCTATATTAAAAAAAGTATCTAATACATTATACTAACATATGCATATGGTCCAACTAATTTAGACGGATTAGGATGTCTCCAACAAATTTCTATCCATTCTAGGAGGAGATACTAATATCTTATAAAATGATATATAGATTAAAAAAAATAAATAAATAAATGAAACCAACGTGGGAGAAAGAATGGGGTAAAGGTTGTCGTGGGTTTTCAAAAAACCGTGAAGCTTGCCCACTACAAGCACTAACTTCCCCGTTCGTATAATCTCATTTTTTCTGTTCCTACTTATTTTCCCATATCCAAATTCAAATGTTAATTTTCCCCTCAGTTATACAACTACTATCAACAGTTGTTGCTTGGTTTTACAGACTCTCACACTCCAACGTAGGATAAAACAGGTATTAAGCAACGCCCGAGTCATCATTCTTCTTTATTTCAATTTTTTCGCTTTTTTGCTTTGCCATTCTTCTCCCACTCCCTCTCCCTAGGCGTAGAAAGGAAATTAATCTAGGTGTAAGCTTCTTTTTTTCACTTTTTTTCCTGCATGGTTGTACTCATTTTACACATTTTCATGTAAGCATAATATGTAATTGTATGAATATCCAGGTTTAGCTTCATATGGGTTCTTTTAACTTCTTCCTTCAAAATCTTCATTGTGTGTTTTTTAAAATTTTGGTCAGATTATGAGTTTCACTTTTGATTATCTTAATGTGCTATACGTGTGCTATGGTAATTTTAAAAATTATTTGTTTTCATTCTTAGGATATTTACAAGAATACCCACAAAAAATGAAGAAGGAACCTATTGATAAGATCTCAAACAGACGTGTCTCTATTTTTACACCTGGTTGGGATATATCTGTCGGAGTAAAAACTACTGATCTAAGCCAACTGATTCTCAAAGAGTGGAAAAAGAAGAAGCATGAGCAGTATGTATCCTAAATTATATACAAATTTGTTACAAGAAATCTAACATTATATATACCTTCAATATATAGGCGGCGCATGAAAAAGGCTATGGAAGAATTAAAACCTTCAACAACTCCTCAGATCATACGTATTTGGAATAAAGTCCAACAAATAAGGTACAACACCATTTCTTACCTATTTATTTTTAATGGCATTCTCTATATCATTCTACAAATTAATTATCTCAAATTATAAAATAAAATAAAACAATTTATGGGTGCAGAAAAAAGATTAACAGTGGCCAAACAACTTTTCTAAATATAGTAAGTCTTCTCTTATTTTCATACAAAAGTATACTATAAATTCAAATTGCATTCAATTTTCAAATATAAATAAAATTGCATTTTTTGTCAGTTTTACAAGCATCACACCCGTCTCAAAGTACAAAGGTTGAAGTACAAGATTAAGGTAATATTTCTTATTATTTAATTTTGTAAATATGGTTACAATTTGTTACCTCAAACTTGACAAATATATTTATCTTTAGTATTCTACAAGTAACTGGAGTAAAAGTATTGCCATGAGAAAATTGTCAAACTTAAAGGTATTTAGGTTAAGTTGCTTACAATCTTTATAGTTGGGATTGTGCATTATAGTTAGACTTCTTATTTTATCATCATTGCTTGCAGATTAACCATGAAAATCTAAAGCATCAAGTGCAAGCAAATGGGTGGCAAGCATGACTTTGATTTCACACGTAGGCGCTATGTTTACATATGTACATGTTGTACATATTTTGCTTTGCTTCATATATTAGGAGTTCATCCCTAGCTAGCCTATAACTTTGATTGAAAACTTATAAATCTGAAACAATTTGATTTAAGGACATTAAGTGTTGTCAATATGTATTTAGAAATCAAATTACATGTCATATTTTCATATTTTTTTTATTTATAAATAGTATATGTTTTCCCATTTTATCTTCGTTGTTGTTTTAAAGAAAAAAATAGTAAAAAATGTATGAGAGATTACTCACATATGTGCAAATTGGATGGAATATATGCTCCTAAATTATTCAACAAATGTGGCAATATGACAATATGGCATGCAATAACACCATTATCACTTTGGAATGATGGGATGATTTTACGGTAACATCATTATCTCATCAACCTTTCTTCAACTCAAGCAATTGGAACTACGTAGCCTGACCCATGCTCTAATGTTGAACATCTCAGTCCCAACCCAAAATGGCACACCCATAATTACGTACTCACTCCTCTAACTGCATCAAGTATCCCATTCACACAACCATTGAACAAATGATCTGCCAACCTGCTCGAATGACGCCAAATATTGCCCATAATACCTTTTTCTCCACCATAATAAAAAAATGTTGTTGTGCACCCTTTTAATACAGCCACTAATCCTCATGTTACAAAATATATTGATCATTTCATATTTTCTATACAACATTAAATAATTAAGCATATATTTTTTATTTTATTTGAGAGTTTAAGGAACCTAACTCTTGATCTTCTTCTGTACAATATATAAAGGTAAAATGGTACTGATGGAGATAACAAAATTCTAACTAGACTGAGTAACTTAATTACCAAAGTCATAATAATGATCAAACATAGCTCATTTCGTGAAATCAAATTCTATCAGCCAAAAAAAAAAAAAAAAAGACACCATAATAATTAGCAAGCAAAAAAAAAAAAAAAAAAAAAAGGTGGATTGGTTAGTGTACAATTCATAAATTTCATTTTTGGGTACAATGAACAGGTGCAAAAAGACTAAGTTAGATGATTGAACATAATAAAAAATTGAAAATAATAAGAAATTGTTGTGATGGACACAAACACAATTTATAAAATAATCACTTAAGAAATATAAGAATATCTAAAACAACACATCTTTGGGGCGCGTAGCGCCCGTGATGCAAAATGCCTCTCGCACGCACGTTAGTGCGTGCAGAGAGGCTAGTTTTACTTAAAAAAAATAAAAAAATAAAAAATAAAAATAAAAAAACCTCAAAACTTGCTCTTTGGATCATATGAGTAAAAGGAAGAGCATGTGATTGTGTTTTAGGGAATAAAACTGGTGTTGGTGATTTGAATTGTGTCAAGTGCTAAATTAGGAATTGAGACTGCATGCTTTTGTACCATTTTGGTTGTAAACTATATGTTATTGTTTGTCATTTCACAAGTTTCATAGCTTATCAGGTATTTTGTGTAACACGATACACTTCCCCATAATGTAGCTGTCTTTCTTGCAAAGTTTTAGATCAGGGGTTCGAGCTGAGGGATTGAGAGTAGTTTAGCATGCTGGCAGTGACACCTAAGAGTAGGGTTTGTAAACTTTTATTATTATATTTAGATTAATGCCTCAATTCATTGTTGAACTAGTGTTTATTGTAACTGTCGTTAATTCTCTGATATAATGTATGTATGAGTTTTAATAAACTCTTCGTACTTATTGTACCATTACATCTTGATGTCGCGCATTAATTTTGTACGTATCTTGAGATCCGACGTAACATCTTTCAATCCTTTTCAAAAAGAAGAAAATGAATGTCATTTACATCACATATTCATGTGCACAACAATGCCATAATCGTCTCCTCCGGTCTTCTCTCTATTCTCTCCTTCTCATCGCCACCAGGACTGTTGTTTGGAGATCAATTGCAAGCTTTGAGAATGGGTTCGTAATACTGTCCTCCCCTTTTTGCCTCACCTAAATCATCCGAAAAACTCAACTCTATCGATTTCTTCCGGTCGACCAAATCGGTTAACTAAAAGTGGGTAAACTGACTTGGCCGTGTCAGTGCCGGTTGCGATTTACTCGTCCCTACAAGTGTTCGTTGGTTTGTGATTTCGCCTTACATTTCAGTTACCTATTCGATTCCACCCCTAGCCACACATGTCTTGTGACACTACGAATGGGGCACAACGAATTGTGCCGAATTTGCAGCGGCCCATTTGTCGCGTTAGATAAGACTTGGACTTATAGAATGGGATCGCAGGTTTTAAATTATAGAGGCCTATTTGGTTAAAGGGCCCAATATTCGAATGAAAGTGTTTTTAAAAAACGGAATAGGATTATCTCCTCTCTTTTTTTCTCTCATCTTCCCTCTCCTCCTATTTGAATGGTTAAAGGTTAAGTCATGTCAACGTCTTATATTAATTTTTTATAGAAGGAGAAAAATAAAATAGAGAATGTAAAAGGAGGGGAGAGAATCATTGTCCTTTAAAAACAATTGACAGTATTTTTAGATTATAAAAAGCAATTTTGACAATATTTAGCCGAAAAAGTTAAGTACTCATTTAGAACTGTAAGTGTTTTTGGTGATACAATAATTCTAGGGAGACTAAATTTATAAATTAAAATTGCAAACTAAATAATGTACCACTAATAAGAAATGAGCACGTTTATCAACTTTTAAGTAATAATCCAATTATCAACTTCCATATCATTTAGTTTACAAAACTTAGTCTACAAATTCAATCTCCCTAGCATTACTCTGGGTGATATTTAGTAACAATTCAAGTGGATTTTAGAAAAACACTTTAAATGACATGTAAGAAAAACAAATATGATACTTCATCCAAAAAAAACATTTAATGTTGTAAAAACTATGGGAATTGAATACCCACATGGTTTAACCAAAAGTGAAAAATAAAAAGGACTAGAAATAGTAGTATTGTCATAATTTGTTGTTGTATGGCATTTTTTCAACATGTATTAATTTTCCTTGTAGACTTTTGCACGTAATTTGCTCTATATAAAGAGCATGCAATGTATGATCAAACAATACATAATATCAAGATCGAAAGCAATAATACCAATATCCCTTTTCCCATCTGATGAGTCGATATTATACTATATATTTTACCCTAATCTTAGTTATAGTTTATTAGTTATTTTGGTAGAATTTTGATACTTTGTTATATATTTTCAATATAGGACATTCGACTTCCTCTGGTGCAAAAAGTAACCAAACGGATGAATTTTGGAGTGATTCCAATTGGACTATGTTCATGAGTCTTTCAAGATGATTGTGTCAAAGTATCAGAATTTTCTACCAAGCCATTTGACCGTGGCGATGAAATAAAGGTCTAGCGCCTAGCTTTCTCAGATTGATGTTTTTGGACGTTTTGAGTATTTTGAAGGTCAAGATGGCATATTTTGATGAAGATTCCCTCTGAGGATTTGTTGAGGACGTCTTTAGCTTTAAAAAAAGACCTTTTGAGACCAAATCGGAGTTTATTTGGTTGGTCAAAAGATTAATTTTCAAAGAACTCTGAATTTTAGTTCAAATAGGAGACCTTTTATTTTCTGTTTTATTATTTTATTATGTTTCCTAGTTTTATTCTAAGTCCTTTTATAGGAAGAATTTTATTTTGTAGTAGTATAAATAAGGCTTTTTAGCCATTAGGGAGATAAGGGGAGAGAATGCATTACTTTGTATTCTCAAGGTGCTTTCTATCCATGTTTTTAATAATATTTTGTTTTATGGTTGTTAGTAACTAGTTTTGTTTGCTAGAGCGAGGCCACGAGCTTTAGCAAGAATATGTAGTTTCTTTTCAATTTGCTTATGATATTATGCACTCAAGTTTTGAATTATTAATCATTGTGCTTTAAACTATCTAATTGTCTTGATGATTGGCCACCATTAGAATATTTAGAAAAGTAATTTGATGCAATTTTGATGGAGGGCTGTCCCTGAATTTGCCGATGGCTTCTTGTGGTTAATATGTGTAACTTCTTAAGATGGACGACATGTCTTAAGGGTTGTATGGTTTTTCAAAAGGTTTTCACAAAACTTAATGAGTCTTGTATGTTCATATTCGATCTAGACGCCACGGACAGGTGCATGTTAGATATACGTTCTATGTTGGAGGTTCCAAGTAGGGCATACTTTAGGAAATCTAACCTTCAAAATATGCATGTGTAATTCATAAGTAATTGGAAGAACTATGTATGATTGTTAAGGTTACGGCGAAACCCTAGTACTTAAATAGATTGCAAAACTATTTTCTTTTGGTTTTCTTTACTTTCTCAATTTATTTAATTGTTTTTAATTAAATTCGTTTTTAATATTTTAGGTCATTAAATCACCTTTTTCTAAACTTTGTTTTCAAATAATTAATTAAGATTTGATTTTAACATAAATTATTCATTCAATCCCTGCGAAAAACAACCTTGCTTGAGCTGCTATACTTCGATAACCTTGTACTCTTGCAAGTATTTTTAAGTATTTTTATCTCTACTTTTGCAAGTGGTAAAATCCCTATCACCATCTTTACCTGCATCATTTGTGTGAGACAATTACGAAAAATAAACAATGTGATACATTGCATCCATTCCACTTCTATCTCTAGTAAAAGTTATCTCTTTCTCACTTTTCCCTATTTATAACATTTAAATTAAAGCGCTCTTAGTTATTTAAAAAATACTTCCCAACCTCTTAGTTATTTTAAAAGCACTTCCCAACGAACTTTAAAAGTACTTCTGAAATTTTTTTCTTTTTAAACATTTAAAGATGTTTCTAGAAGATGTGGTAGAGTCAAGTTTCACATAAACAGCATTGAATTGCAAATCAAAATCCAACCCACAAGTTACTCAAAAGAGTAATACTAGGGAGATCAAATTTTTTAAAATTAAATTTGCAAACTAAATATTGTGGTTGTAGGTAATTGGATTATTAATTAAATGTCGATTAACGTGTTTGTTTCTTATTGGTGACACATCATTTAGTTTACAATTTGGTTTAAAAAAATTGATCTCTCTAACATTACTCTACTCAAAACTAGCAACTGCAAGGATACACAACACACAAACTTACCCTTAACCAACAAATAGTTAGCGGATTTAAGGAAACCCACAGACTTGACCGATTCTGCTACATAAATTTGTGTCCATCCCCATCCCCATCCCCATCCCCATCCCATCCATAATATAGCACCACT